TCAAGCCCAAACCCCTCAAGATACAGTCAATATAGACTTATCATATGATATTATGAATTGCCTGGGGGAGGACCCAGAAGGAGCCGACAAAAATATATTTGACGTTCACCCAGAGCTGTCTAAAAGGGTAAGCTTTATATTAGCAAAAGGCTTAGACAAAGAGCTTAAGAAAACCCTGTTATCCAATTACCCCCAACCAAAGGAAATAAACTTGGGGCCACCAATCCTCAACCCAGAAATATCGGCTTCTTTACAGCAAATCTCCATAACCAAAGATAAATATATGACACAAACTCAAGAACAAAATGCAAAGGGGTTAGGTACTTTGTTGTACACACTCAACAAAATGTTGCAGGACGAAGGAGAATATATTCAAAAAAAGGAATATATTTCAATTATTTCTGACGTGGTCAGACATTATTCTGGTTTACAAAATCAGTTGTCAATTCACCGAAGGTCCATGATCAATAACTCACTAAATAAAACTGTAGTGGAGTTAGCTGCAACAACCCCAGTTGATAAATATCTATATGGGGAAAACTTTGGGGAAAAGCTGAAAACAGCTAAAGCTGCTGAAAGATCAGCGAAAGATATTAGTTTGGTGAACCAAACCAAAAGGCCACCTGTAAATTTGAAACAGAATTTAAACTTATATGGCCCTTCGAGGAAGGGGGAACCTCGTCAACAACAGGGCCAAAATTCCCAGCAAAGACCTCGCTATCGCCAGCAATATCAGCAACACTCCAACCAAAGTGTTTATTACAAGAAAAAACAATTTCCGAGGAAGAACAAATAAAAGTAAGTTGTAGTTTACCCTTACCAGCAGTAGGTAGGTTGCCATATTTTATACAAAATTGGAAAGCCCTGGGAGCTTCCGAAGCAGTAATTTCCTGGTTGAAAGGTTTCAAAATTCCTTTCCATTCAACCCCTCAACAGCAAAATGGAATCGTGAACAGGCGTTTCTCCAACAGTGAGAAAACAAAGCTTAAACTGGAAATTAATTCATTAATAAATCTAGGTGCAGTAAAACTGTGTGCAGCTACTGAAGGTCAGTTTATTTCTTCTTACTTTTTAGTGGACAAACCAAATGGAAAATACAGGTTTATACTTAACTTAAAAAACTTAAATGTTTTCTTGAATCCACCCCATTTTAAAATGGAGGATGGGCGAACAGTGTGTAAGCTGCTGGAACAAAATTCCTACCTAACAAAAATTGATCTAAAGGATGCTTATTTTGCAATACCAATTGATAAAAACTTTAAAAAATTCTTAAGATTTCATTTTGAAGGTAACTATTATGAGTTTCAAGTTCTCCCATTTGGGATCTCATTTGCTCCTTACTTATTTACAAAAATAATTAGACCAATTCTAAAATATTTTAGAGGCAAGGGAATATCTTGTGTTGCATACATAGATGATTGGATTTTAATTCATGACTCAATTTCATTAGCTAATAAAAATACCAGGTTTGTTGTAGAAACATTACAATCGTTGGGTTTCTTAGTCAATTTTAAAAAATGCAATTTAACCCCAAAAACTAGTTGTTTATTTTTGGGATTTATTTTTGATACAAACAACATGATTATAAAACTTCCCCAAGAAAAATATAACAAAATCAAGAACTCAATTACTAAGTTGAAAAATAGTTCTAAATGTAAAATTAAATTCCTGGCTCACATTGCTGGCTTATTAGTTTCTATTTGTCCAGCTGTTAAATATGGAAGACTGTATACTAAATCTATTGAGCGAGAAAAATACTTAGCTTTGAAAAAGTGTAATGGGGATTATAATAAAGTAGTTTCAATATCCAATAATCTGAAAAGAGACATGAACTGGTGGGAAATCAATTTGCTTCATGCATATAACAACATTAGGTTAGAAACACCCCAATTTGAAATTTATACTGATGCTAGTAAAACTGGTTGGGGGGCAGTATGTAATGAAAAAACAGTTCATGGATGGTGGAACAGTCATGAAGTAGAGCTGCATATAAACATTTTGGAACTCAAAGCTATTTATTTCGCCCTCAAATGTTTTGTAAATGACAGAAAATCAATCTGCATACTGCTAAGAGTGGACAATACCACAGCAGTTGCGTATATAAATAAAATGGGTAGTGTACAACATCCAGTATTGAATGAAATTACTAAAGAAATATGGCAATGGTGCGAGGCTCGAAATATATGGCTTTTAGCTTCTTATGTAAAGTCAAAAGACAACATAGCAGATGAAAGTTCACGAATATTCTCAGAGGAAACTGAGTGGGAATTGTCCCAATCAGCTTTTTCTATGATTGTCGCTAAATATGGATACCCAGAAGTTGATCTATTTGCTTCTAGGGCAAATACGAAATGTGATAGATATTTTTCATGGCTAAAAGACCCAGGATGTGAGGCCATTGATGCCTTCACTGTGCCATGGACAAACCTATATTTGTATGCTTTTCCTCCATTCTCATTAGTACTTAAAGTACTAAACAAAATTGTCCAAGATAAAGCTGAAGGCATAGTTGTTCTACCTAACTGGCAGTCCCAACCTTGGTATCCACTTTATCTAAAATTACTAGTAGGCCAGCCTATAAAGTTTAAGCCACAGCCTAATCTATTGTCTTCTCCTTTTAGACTTCAACATCCACTTGCAGCAACACTTACCCTGGTGGCAGCACATTTGTCGGGAAAGCCTTCCAACTGAAGAAAATTCCTGAGGAAGCAATCCAAACATGCCTGGAATCACTATCAGAAAACACATTTAAACAGTACAATTCTATTTATAAAGAATGGTGGCAATTCTGTGAAGAAGCAAATGTTAACCCGTATACGGCAGAAGTAACTGAAGTCCTAAAATTTTTACAGCACATGTCGAAAACTAAGAAGTGGAAATATGGTTCTTTTAATTCATGTCGTTCAGCACTGGCTTTAGTATTACCAGGTGATATAGGTAGAAACCTAATAATCTGTAGATTTTTGAAGGGCATCTCAAAAAGAAGACCAAGCAAACCAAGATACAAAATAACGTGGGACCCTAAAATAGTCCTGGATTACTTAGAAACAAAAACCCCTAATGAAACACTGTCACTGAAAGAATTAGGCATGAAACTAATAATGCTTCTTACACTCATAACAGGCCAAAGGTTACAAACCCTCTCTTTAATTAAAGTAGAAAATATAATTGTTAATCCACAGGGATTACAAATCCTTATTCCGGATATAATCAAAACTTCTAAACCAGGCAGAAGCCAGCCTTGTTTGACAATACCATTTTTTGATGAAAACCCATCACTCTGTGTGGCTTCAACACTACTGAATTATCTGGAAAGAACAGCAACTCTTCGAACTAACTTAGAATTTCTATTCATCACTGAAAAGGAGCCATTAAGACAACTGAGCAAGCAAACTTTATCAAATTGGGTAAAGTTAACAATGACGAGAGCCGGAGTTAATACTGACCAGTTTAAACCTCATTCAACTAGACATGCTTCCACATCAAAAGCATGGAGCCAAGGAATCTCTATTGATGTTATTAGGACCACTGCTGGTTGGAGTGAAAATTCTGGGACTTTTGCCCAATTTTACCATCGTCCCCTTTATAATGAATTTGGTTTTGCAAAAGCTATTTTAAGAAAACAAAATACTTAATGTATCTATACATTTGTTTATTCAGTATTCAGTCATAATATGAATGATAAATATGGAAAAATGAAATGCATTAAAGTATTAACATTTGAATTTTTTGCTTTATTAATATTTTTACCAGTAAGAGCTTTAAACAGCTACAAGTTATATAGTGATCTAGAGGACGAAGTGCAAATGCATATAATTACACAATCAAACGAACTTACCTGATGTTCGATTGTGATTATATGCTGTTGCACTTCGTCCGAATAGATCACCCCACCCTTCCCTCCCATATGAAGAGTAGGTATATCTTTATGTCATATAATTATTCTGATTTTTGAGGATTTTTGAATGCGGGTGCAATGCCCCGCCTTTACTGGAAAAAATATCTTTAAACAGAGACTGACAGTTCACGCGTCACCCGTCAAGGAGCATGACAAGGCGTGGGGCGCGTTCCTTTTTTCTTTAAACTCTGTGGCGCTATCTGGCAGAAAGTAGAGGTACTACAAGTTATATAGTGATCTATTCGGACGAAGTGCAACAGCATATAATCACAATCGAACATCAGGTAAGTTCGTTTGATTGTGTAATTTATGAACTTGATTTATTTATTGTAAAATGACAAAAGGCATTAGAATGTAGTATGACCACAGCTATGACCGTTGAAAACAGAAAAATTATTGTGCTTTCCCAAAACGATATCAAAAGAAAAAGATGGGATCAAGAGCGAAAACAATTTTTTGTCATACGCTCCCAAAAATAGCTATTTTACGGACTCATTCATCGAGTCCATAAAATGGTTCTTTTTAGGATTTTTTTTTTCTTTCTAGGTGCACCTATCTGCTATTCCGGACTCGGCTGACGCCTCGTCTGGAAACAGCAATGATTCGTCCTGAAAAACTTTATTTTAGGTACTTGTGACAAAAATTACTATTAAAAGTTTTAAATACATTTCTAAAAATGCTAAAATATTAGTACCTACCTACCTGACCTACCTTGATTACTAATTAAACATGAAATCAATATTTAATAATGTAAACTAGCTCTTGTAGCCTGTTTTCTCACAATACACTAATATTATTTATTTTAAATTTTGACAAACCTACTCGGAGTTAAGTTTTCCATGTTCAAACTGCTAATTTCTACAGTTATAACGGAAAAATAAGCAAAAAATCTTGCGTCGTTTTGAATATCGATAAAATGAAAATTCAAATTCATTCTAGAAATTCTTACCCTAAATAACGATAAACAAACGTTTAATTTTAAAACCCGCGCCGAACTTTCCGGAAATATATGGCGCCGAATGCGTTTATCGAGCGTGGAAAACGTTCCACTGAATTCTCGAATTGTCACGATCGCCGGTTGCTATATAAACCAGCTGACAAACGAACAACGCCGTCAGATTTTAAAACGAACTTGAAGCGTGTGCACGAGCGTGAAAGCCCTTGTGGTATTTTCAAAGCGAATTTTCCAAGCTATTCAACCAAAACTTGTGGTTTTTTGAGTTTTATTGAAGAATTAAATAGTTAAGGTATGTATTTTGCTCTGTTTTGTTTTTTTTTTTGGGTTTTTGGGTGACTTATTTTGACACATTTACCTGGATTTGCTGGCAAATAATACTCCCTTATGTCAAAAAGGCCACAATTGTTGCCCTCTTATTTAAAAGAAGAGTTATTATTCGCCAGTGAATTCATTATTGTTATTGTAATTTTTGTTCACATTTTCATACACCAATGCTAACTTTTTTCACGCCACGAGGCGCCGGTGACGCCACCCCTTCTTTAAAATTCCAGAATGTCTTTATTCTTCTTTATGGACAAAGACTTTTCTAGAATTTCCTTTTTCAAATTGGTATTTGAACTCAAATCCATAGTTAACTGCAACTAAGTACTGATTTAATTGATTATTTATTTAATTCTTGACCTTTATTATCCATGGAATGACTCTTGAGTCCTTAGTCACATTTTTTCTCGAATTTTCCATGAATCCGCCTTGTAAATATGCTGTAGCCTCAATAAAGATCCTTTCAAAAAGATTAACAACTAATTTTATTCATTTTTCATTTATTTCATCAAGTTTTTACGCAGATTGTCTATTCATCAGTCTGGGTCTTAAGGGTCTCCAGTTTCCCAACATAACTTTTTTTTGTAGTCTTAAAGCTGGATTTAGTGTCAGTATCAGTAACAGTAAAACTTAAGAACAGATATGAAAATAACCATTTCTTAAGTTTTACTGTTAAGTTTGTTAAGTGAATTATAAATGGCTTTACGGTAGGCCGTGTTTTAATATTTTACTGTTACTGATACTGACACTATAAATCCAGCTTTAGTCTTACTCACATTTTTGCTTCAAAATTTTCAAATACATAGTTCAATCACTAACTACTATTTTACTGAAATTCACCTAATTCAAGAACCTATTCAGGTTGTGGGCTCACGTTCGTTGTTTTCCAAGAACTTGTTCCTTTAATAATTTCCATTTATTTTAGTCAATGTTTAATCAATTTTTTACTCAAATTGTCTAATTAACTTGTCGATCCAATCAGTACGTAGGCACTTAAGGCATTTAATTATTCACTTTTGGGTTTTGTTATTCGCAATGTAGCTCTTTCACGTGCCAACTTAATTTCAATGAGTTTACAAACTGATTTTATAAATTTTTTAATGAACCAACACTCAATTTCTTGCTTTTAATAGTTCGCTGTGCTGACTTTTTCAATAATTGTTGATAAATCTGTCTGAAATATCTCTTCGGAAATCTATGATTTGATCTTAATATTTTACTGCGTGATTTTCAATGATTTTTCACTTGGTTCATTAATGAATCTGCACAAGGGTTCATTGAGTGGATATCAAAGAGTTGACTAACAAATTTTATTTTACGAAGCAGTGACCCAGCTGTTTCCATTACATTTACTTGATGAATTTATTATATTTGCAATAATTTCTTACCTAATGTGTCTCTTGAACTTTTATGATTTACTTCCAAAATTCAAATGGAGTGATTTTATTGCTTTCAAAAATAATTAGGTATTCATCACTTGATTTATTTTATGCTTAAATTGTCAATTAATCAGACTGCCTGGTCTCCCACCCAGTTGCATCTGGAGGTCCAACTTTTTTTCTAAACAATCTCCTTGTGGTTGGGCTGAATAGTAGATAATAGGTGGGCTCCCAAGGAGTCCGAATACTAAAATGGTTTAATAATTATTATATACCATTTTATTGAAATCCTCCAAATTCAAGATCCTTGAATCCTTATATGGATTCACTTCAGTAGCTCTGCTAAAACTTACCGATTCCTTAATAATTCACAAATTATATTGTTAATGAGCTGAATTAGTTGCTAAACTTTTTTAAGAAGCTACTTCTTGTAAACTTGATTTCTTTGTTTCTAGCAGTTCCTACTGACTTTGACTCTTTTTTTATAATTTTTGACTAATTAGTCAGAAACGATTCTGGAGAATCCAATAATTTGCTCCTTGTATATTTTGCCAAGTGATTTTATTATTTTTCAAAGTTTTTTAAATTGATTTATCATCTAACCTACCGAAGGGTTCATTGAAGAGTTGAATAACAATAGTTCTTATTCTCGATTTTATTCATTGTTGGTTGTTGGCTCACTATCAAGTTACTTCCAATGAATTCACAATTTGCTGAGTGATTTTTTAGGTGAATCTTGAATAGTCAATTGATTTAAACAGGTCTTGGTGAGTGTTGACTAGGGTTTCCATACGTCCGGATTAACCCAGACATGTTTGGGTTTTTAGGGTGTCCGGGGAAGTCCGGCCGGAATTTGGAACAATGTCCGAAAAACTTGGAGCTCGTGAAAACACTCGTATTCACTCAGATTACGCACTATTCAAAAACTTAAAATTTTACTTCACGCATTATTACGTAAGGTAATTCACTTTACACATTAGTGCGTGAAGTAATGTCAATAACAGATGTCGGCACTGTAATTTTTTTCTAGTAAATTACTTCACTTCACGATTTACGTACTAGTACATAAAGTATTTGTCTAAATTTTTTTTTGCATAATATAGGTACATATTTTATAGGTACCTAGGTAGTAAAAATTTTTTGTATATGCAATGCGTGTGTAAAGTGAACCTTTTTTCACGAATGTGAATTTTGTCGCACTTGTATTTCACTTTACACACTTGTTGCATAAATAGCTATTTCGGCGAAGTCCGGATTTTGTCCGGATTTCTTGACTCCTTTGTCCTGAATTTCGAAAAACCTTTATGGAAACCCTAGTGTTGACTGACGTTGAATATTCATGAGTGTAGTTATACTGCCCGCCCACGCAATAATCTGCGCATGAGCTCAAATTGATTGTGTTGGAATTCTTTCTATAGTGTGTCTGAATGACTACCCTTCTAAAACTTTTATTTTTTGACCGATTTAATTCATTTTTTTGTTTTGTTTTATATCTACTCAAATTTGTCACTTATTAGGCTAATGATTTGATTTCTGCGGCTGTACTGGTGTACAGGGTGGCCCATTTTCGATGTTTTAATGGGCTATATCAAAAACCAGCAGAGATATCAAAAATCTGGCAGCACATTCTCGAGCTCTTTTTTTGGGACAATAACAATGGCAAAGACAAATCACGACTAACTTGATGCGTTTAGGAAATACAGGGCATTTTTCAAATTTTGTCCAATTTTGAAAGACTCTCTAATTTCCTTAATATTCAAGATATCCAAAAACAAAAAATACTTTCTATAGCCACTTTTTCAAGTAGAATCCAGCCGTATGACCAAGTTTTTTCCAGATCCCACCGATTTTGGAATATTGACCAAAGTTGGGTTTTTTTTTAAATAGGACACCTCATATATTATTTTTTCATTGAATAGCTCTTTGTGAGCTGATTTCAATGATATAAGCTTTTATACCTTTACCTTCAATAGTTTTGGAGAAAAAAAATAAATTCCGTTTTTTCCATAAGAAACAATGAGTCAGAAAGACATAGTTGAACTATGAATCGAGGTTGATAAATAGCCAACACATAATTTATTTAATGACTTATCCTTCTCTAGCTCATTGTTTCTTATGGAAAAACGGAATTAATTTTTTTTCTCCAAAACTATAGAAGGTAAACGTATAAAACCTTATATCATTGAAATCAGCTCACAAAGAGCTATTCAATGAAAAAATAATATACGGAGTGTCCCATTTAAAAAAACACAACTTTGGTCAATATTCCAAAACCAGAGGCATCTGGAGAAAAATTGGTTATGCCACTGGATTCTCCTTAAAAAACTGCCTATAGAAAGTATTTTCCGATTTTGGATATCTTGATTAATAAAGAAATTATAAGGTCTTCTAAAATTGTGCAAAATTTGAAAAGTGCCCTGTATTTCCTAAACGCATCAAGTTAGCCGTGATTTGTCTTCGCCATTATTATTTTCTCAAAAAAAGAGCTCGAGAATGTGCTCCCAGATTTTTGATATCTCTGCTGGTTTTCGATATAGCCTATTAAAACATCGAAAATGGGCCACCCTGTACAGGGTGGGCCAATTTGGAGCTTGTCTCAAAATATAACATTTTTGCGGTTTGATTCATTAAGTTGTTGTCATCACCCTGTATCGTATTGAATCAAAAATTAATACATTTGGGTTTCAGGTTTAAGACCATCTTAAACAAGAATCTGCTATCAGATTTTTTCTAAAAAAATCCCTAATATTACTTATTGAAATTTGAGCCTATAAATGTGGACACCCTGTACGAGGTGGGCCAATTTGGACACTTTTAATAGGAAACGTCAATTTCTAAGCGAGATACAAAAAAATGAACCCCCCACTCTGAAGCTCAAATTCCATGAAATTTTGATTGGTGCAAACCGCATTTTGATATCTTTGACCATTTAGCCGCTAGAGGGCGATTCTCGATTTTAAGCAATATTGTGAAACCTTCATAACTTTTTTGTTTAGGAAAATAATTGATTTCCGTAAAAACTTCCTAGAAGCACTTTTTTAAACAGAATTCAGTGACATTCTCAGTTTTTTTCTGACACCCTTTATAATAATAGCTCATTGAAAAGCTATCATTTTTCTAATTTTAATGATATAAGGTTCGATAGGTTTACCTCTAACCGTTTTCTAGAAAAAAAATTATTTCGGTTTTTCTCATAAGAAGCAATGTGTTAGAAAAGGACTTTATATCTGTACGGAAAATGAAAAAGATCTCTTTCTAACACATTGTTTCTTATGACAAAAACCAAAATAATTTTTTTTCTCAAAAACTGTTCGAGATAAACCTATCTGGTCAATATTTCGAAGTTGGGACCAACTAGAAAAAAATTGAGAACGTCACTGAATTCTGCTTCAAAAACTTCTTCCAGAAAGTTTTTACGGAAATGAATTATTTTCATAAACAAAAAAGTTATGGAGGTTTCCCATTATTGCTCAAAATCAAGTGGCTAAACGGTTGAAGATATCAACATGGGGTTTGCACCAATCAAAAATTCAGGAAATTTGAGCATCAGAGTGGGAGGTTCATTTATTTGTATCTCGCTCAGAAATTGACGTTTCCTATTAAAATGTCCAAATTGGCCCACCCCGTACAGGGTGTCCACATTTATAGGCTCAAATTTCAATAAGTAATATTAGAGATTTTTTTAGAAAAAATCTGATAGCAGATTCTTGTTTAGGATGGTCTAAAACCTAAAACACAAATGTATTAATTTTTGATTCAATACGATACAGGGTAATAATAATAATGTAATTATCCAATAGCAAGCGGTGTACCGATGAAGCTATTGTCTCTTTAAAATTTGTTATTGTTTACATTTTCCTTTAATTATGCGCCATAATGGATCATTCTTGCTGCACTCTGTCTTAATTCTTTGTCTAAATGATGACAACAATTTAATGAATCAAACTGTGAAAATGTTATATTTTGAGATAAGCTTACTACAAGTTTTGGTTGAGGATGTTCTATAGTTTTAGAACATTGGATCAAGTTTTGTTGTTCTCAAGGCATCAAAAGATGACATTTTTCCAGTTTAGTCTAATACATTTTGAAAATTTGTTGTGATCACCCTGTATCATATTGAAATAAAAATCAGTACATTTGGGTTTTAGAGCATTCTAAACAAGAATCTGCTATCATACTTTTTTCTAAAAAAATCCCTAATAGTACTTATTGAAATTTGAGCCTATAAATAAATGTGAACACCCTGTACACCAGTACAGCCGCAGAAATAAAATTATGAGCCTAATAAATGCCAAATTCGAGTAGATATAAGACCAAAAAGAGGTGAATTGAATCGGTTAAAAAATAAAATTTTTAGAAGGGTGGTCAAATCCTTAAGCGGGGGACACATTGTAGAAAATAAGTTGGATTCTTGACATACTGGCGGACACCTGTTACAATAATATAATGGCTGAGATCGTTTTTGTCATCTTTTTCGTTGATTTGCTCCGAAATTTTGACAGGCACGTGACTGGATAAGACAGTTTCAAGTTACAAATTACATGCCTGTCAAAATTTCAGAGGAAATCGACGAAAAAGATGACAAAAACGAACTCGGCCAATAATATGTAATGATAGCCATTAATACACGAGCGAGCAAGTTTCATATGCAGGGTGTTCATTTTAAAACTTACCACCCATTATCTGGAAGTTGAAAAAATTTTGAAAAAAATCCCTGAAACATGTCAACTATAGTTTAAGGGGGATGAGTTTTTATGCAAAATTCACCTCCCTCCTTTTAACCCCCCAGCGCCACCCCCTTTTTCAACAAAATGATAGGGGTGGTAAGTTTTAAAATGAACACCCTGTATCACATGTGAGTGTATTGATGGCCATTACATGAGACTCATTAGAGTTGTTGCATACACCATTTTTTTCTGCTCCTATAGCTAATATTTTTTTGTTGTTTCTCTCTAAAGATCTACAAACAGAAACAATCCAAAACAAGTCTCATTTTTTATAAACATTAAACATTAAAAATAATTCGATGCCAGTCCAGTGACTGAAAAATTTAATCATAATCAAAATAATTATCATAATGAAGTTCATAATGCAACATATTTTAATCTTTTAATTAGTGTATTATGAGAAAGAAGTAGAATAAAGATTTAATCTACGTCGGTGTCATTATGACACATTTAGCATTGTCATTTGAATGTCATTAGGTCCTTCATAATAGCGCTAGTGCGTTTAAGAATTCATAATAACACCCAAATTTTAAAATGAAAAATATACAAAAAGAAAGTTAGTTGCCAGAAGAACCTTTTCAATAATGCTGTCTCTATATTCGAAGAGACACTTTCGAACTCAGAATCACCAATAATAATATTATTTTCCACTATAAAATTGAATTTATGGCACAAAAATGGACTCCAATATTGAAGCTGCCAAAGTCAAAATTCTAAAAACCAACAAGCAGGTTCTCGACTAGTACGGGCACCTGCTAAATTTCAAATTTTAATTTGAAAAGTTTTTGCTATTTCAAGGCAAATCAAATCTATTTGGACCATTGTAGATTAAATTTTGAATGATACACGTTCGATATGAACTTTATTAATGAAACTTGTGTAACTAAACCACTCGGCTAACGCCTCGTGGTTTAACGTTACACGCGTTTCATTATGGCGTTCATATCGAACTTGTATCATTAATAACTATTATGTGTGTCCTAGTTAATGATTCAAGCCCTATTTTTATAGCCAAGGATGTTCCCATTTTGTTTCTCTTCTACTCTATAAGAGAAATCAAAAGAAAATATCCAAAATAAAACAACTATGCTCATAGTACTGCCTAAGATGAAAATGTCTTTAGTGGGTTTCCCATGCATCTTACATGATAAAAATTATTGTGTATTTTCCTTTTCTTTATATTCACATTTTGCAAAACAAATTGAGACAAACACAATCTCTAATAAGTTTTTTTTTTCTGATTTCAGATGCCAGAAGAAACTGACGTCGAAACTTTCGCCTTCCAGGCTGAAATTGCTCAGTTGATGAGCTTGATCATCAACACTTTCTACTCCAACAAAGAAATCTTCCTTAGAGAATTGATCTCGAATTCTTCAGATGCCTTGGACAAAATCCGTTATGAATCGCTCACCAACCCTTCCAGGTTGGACTCTGGCAAAGATCTTTTCATCAAGATCATTCCCAACAAAGCGGAAGGAACCTTGACCCTTATCGATAGTGGTGTCGGTATGACTAAAGCTGACTTGGTCAATAACTTGGGTACCATCGCCAAGTCTGGAACCAAAGCCTTCATGGAAGCCTTACAAGCTGGTGCTGACATTAGCATGATTGGTCAATTTGGTGTTGGTTTCTATTCTGCCTACTTGGTTGCTGACAAAGTTGTAGTTGTATCTAAACACAATGACGACGAGCAATATATCTGGGAATCTTCTGCTGGTGGCAGTTTCACAATTCGTCCTGACCATGGGGAACCACTCGGCCGTGGTACCAAAATCGTTTTGCACATCAAGGAAGACCAAACTGAATATTTGGAAGAAAACAAAATTAAGGAAATTGTCAAGAAACACTCTCAATTTATTGGTTACCCAATTAAAATGCTTGTAGAAAAGGAACGTGAAAAGGAACTAAGTGAAGATGAAGCTGAAGATGAAAAGAAAGAGGGTGAAGAGGAAGACAAAGATAAACCAAAAATTGAGGATGTCGGTGAGGATGAAGACGAAGACAAAAAAGAAGAGAAAAAGAAGAAGAAAACTATCAAAGAAAAATATACTGAAGATGAAGAACTGAACAAAACCAAACCAATCTGGACCAGAAACCCAGATGATATTAGCCAAGAAGAATATGGTGAATTTTACAAATCCCTCACCAATGACTGGGAAGACCATCTTGCAGTCAAGCACTTCAGTGTTGAAGGTCAACTGGAATTTAGGGCTCTATTGTTTGTCCCACGTAGAGTGCCATTCGATTTATTCGAAAACAAGAAACGCAAAAACAACATCAAATTGTATGTCCGACGTGTATTCATCATGGACAATTGCGAAGAACTTATTCCAGAATATTTGAACTTCATCAAGGGTGTGGTTGATTCTGAAGACTTACCTCTTAACATTTCTCGTGAAATGTTGCAACAAAACAAAATCTTGAAAGTTATCCGCAAAAACTTAGTAAAGAAATGTATGGAACTGTTTGAGGAATTGACTGAAGACAAAGATGGCTACAAGAAATTCTATGAACAATTCTCAAAGAACTTGAAATTGGGTATCCATGAAGACACACAAAACAGATCAAAACTTGCTGATCTTTTGCGTTACAACACATCTGCCAGTGGTGATGAAGCTTGCACCTTCAAAGACTATGTAAGCCGCATGAAGGAAAACCAAAAGAGCATTTATTACATCACTGGTGAAAGCAAAGACCAAGTAGCCAACTCTGCCTTTGTAGAACGTGTCAAGAAGCGCGGATTTGAAGTAGTTTACATGACTGAACCAATTGATGAATATGTTGTCCAGCAATTGAAAGAATACGATGGTAAACAACTTGTATCTGTCACCAAAGAAGGTTTAGAACTACCCGAAGATGAAGAAGAGAAAAAGAAGAGAGAGGAAGACAAGGCTAAATTTGAAGGCTTGTGCAAAATAATGAAGAGCATTCTGGACAGCAAAGTTGAAAAAGTTGTTGTCTCAAACCGTCTTGTAGAATCTCCTTGTTGTATTGTCACATCACAATACGGCTGGACCGCCAACATGGAACGTATCATGAAAGCTCAAGCCCTTCGTGACTCCTCTACCATGGGTTACATGGCAGCCAAGAAACACCTTGAAATTAACCCTGACCATCCAATTATTGACAACTTGCGTCAAAAGTCTGATGCAGACAAAAATGACAAAGCAGTCAAAGATTTGGTCATCCTGTTGTTTGAGACTGCATTGTTGAGCTCTGGTTTCTCGTTGGAAGAACCCCAAGTGCATGCTTCCCGCATCTACAGAATGATCAAGCTAGGTTTGGGCATTGATGAAGAGGAAGTTATGTTGACTGAAGAAGCACCTGCAACTGAAGCTCCAGTTGAAGGTGGAGATGCTGAAGATGCTTCCAGAATGGAAGAAGTTGATTAAAGTTGCTTTCATGTTGTGGGACATGTGTTGTAATGTGTTCCGGAATTCCCAATTTTTGTACTGATTTTTATTTATTTTTTATTATGGTAATGTAAAGTTTCATTTCTTACATAGATTTCTTTCAGCCTTTTAACAACTGAATATTTGTTTTTTGTTTTTTTGGCTGTGTAAAGTTTACTTGTAAAGTTAATAAACGATTCCCCAAATAATATTTTGAGTTTTTTCTGTGTTAATTTAATTTTCAGGTACCTACTTAACTGAAAAAAATTCAAGCTAGTTCTGGAGAATCAGTTCAAAGCTTTAATTTTTGGTTCCAATGGGATTCAGTCTCAAACAGTTCTGTGTATATTAGATTTAGATTCTATAGTGGACTACTTCTGATTGAAACCAAAAATAAAAGCTGGTGTCTTATCTAATTGAGATTTTGAACTGAATTTAAAAAATTTGCCAAATAAAATACAGCTCAAATAAAAGGTACGTTTTATTATAGCTGTGGCTTGCAATGCAGTAATTAGACTGTAAGATAATGACAGATTTAGGAACCCCATTTTCTACAACCCTTGAAGAAGTTTGAAAAGTACATCGATTTTCAGTAAAATGATGCGAAATTCACATGTGGCTCTTGAGGATAACATAAAATCTGGAAAGATCCATTTTCCTCAACAGAAAAAAAGGTGATCATATTTTCACACAAGCCTTGATTATTTGGAAACCAAAAACTAAAGTGTTTCAACGATGAAAACGCACGCTCGATAAACATTGGTTCGAGTGGCGCAAATGATACATTATTTTTAAGGTAACTTAAGCAAAATCAAATTTTCCATCTTATCCCCAGGAGCCACTTAAATTCTTTCACTCTACTCAACATTGATGCACTTTTCAACCCTCTTTGAGGTTTTTAATTATGCGAAAATCGGGCACATTCTGTTTCCTTTTATAAAATGAGCTATTTTTTGCCATAGGTGTATTTGTTAATTTAATTAGTTCACTACTACATAGATTATGCCAACTAAAACTAGAGGATGGACCTAGATTATTATGTGAATTGTGTTTTTTTAATGGTCAAAAGTCCGAGATTTTTGCATTTTTTCTTTTTTTTAGGAAATAAAGAAGAAGAAGCTGACAAATTAAATCAAATTATGCATTTAAGCCTTGTACCTATATCACAGAATCCTATATGCTTGTATCACAGAATATATAGGTACCCATATATTCTGTGCTTGTATATAGTGAGGTTTCAGCATACTTTCGCCAGTATGTCAATGTACAAAATTTTCCAAAACCGAACAAAGGTCAAAGGTTTAATCGCAGCCCATCAACTTCCAACTTCCTTGCCTCGCAGTCACTTCTCTTGTCTTGGGGGTAACTTTTTAATTGTGAAGTGAGAGGTCAAGTCAATTGGTTTTATGCATAGTGAAAGGAGGACATGGACTTCAGGGCTGATGAGGCTGGATTTGGGAGTACCCCAGGGCACTGTTCTTGGGCCTCTTTCTCTTCTCTTCGTTTCATCAATGACCGTTACCTGAATCACAGAATATATTCTGTGCCTGAATATAAGGGTCCCTGAACTCGTTGATCTTTATAAATAATAATACCAATACATACAGATATTTTCAATATGCTTAGTGGGAGGGCTTTATTTTCTATGTACAGGGTTATCCAACGAAAGAGCTTATTTCTACCTTATATAGGTACCTACTTGTTAATTGAAGAGGTACAAAAAAATGTTAAATAATAAAGTTGGGATTTTTATGAGGAATGAGGAGCACTTTTAAAAAAAAATGAGAAGGCGGGTTTAAAAAATATAGCAAGAAATTTAACATTTCTTGCTTAATTTAAATGCAATGGCAATGACCCATTTTAGAATATGTTTTTGGATTCTACATTTAATTGGAACCCTGAAATATGTTACATGTCCTATAGTTAAATTTAGCAATTGTGGAAATATCCCTAATCAATGATTTTTCAAAATAAATTACCTACGAAAAAAATGATATTTCATCGTTGGAAGCAATACTAATAAACTAGACGGGAACTTACCATTCTTACCAGCTTCCAACGATGAAATATAATTTTTTTCGTAATAAAATAATGCTCTAATTCCTCATAAAAATCCCAACAACTTTTATATTTAACATTTTTTTGTACCTCATAAGATAAATAGTTATTTATGCAACAAGTGTGTAAAGTGAACCTTTTTTCACGAATGTGAATTTTGACAATCACATGAGTGAAAAAAGGTGCTTTACGCACGTATTGCATACAAATTTGTTTCTACTACATACCAATCAAATATGTATAAAAAAATAAATTTAGACAAATTCTTCACGCACTAGTGCGTAAAGTATTTTCACTTTATACGCATTAGTGCGTGAAGTAATTTACCAGAAAAATAGAAATTTGACAGGTCGACATCTGTCATTGACATTACTTTAGGCACTAGTGTGAGAAATTTTACGTCTTCTGAATAGTGCGTAAAGTGAGTACTTTACGCGCGGTATAGTTGAAAAATGCCCTTTCGTTGGATAACCCTGTACCTATCGCGGATAGGTATTCAATCTTCGGTTGAATGTTTTATTAAGGACGGTTCAATTTTTTTTTCTTATGCCTAAATATTATAAATTTATTTTTTCTTAGAGCAGTCCCTATCACCAAAGAATATTATAGACTAACGTCTCTAGAAGTCTCGTCCGTATTCTGATTTTTGATACCTCGATGGACGCCGGCTTTTGCCGGTGTGGACGCTGGCTCGAGTCTATTGCCCACTGTTGCCGAGTTGTCAGTGCTGTTGATTCAGCGTCCAGCCAGCGAGCCAGCATCCGTGTCTGCTTCTCTGAATGAAGTTATTAAAGTGAAATATTTGCTTTGCATGCATAGGGAGACAGACGCGTGCCAAAAGGAATTAGGAAGTTAAGCATATATTTTCTAACATATTTGATAATTTACCAACGAATATCATAGATGGATGCTATTCTATCATTTTCTTTAGGTTTTTTTTTCAGTATATTTGGCAAATTTGCCACTTAGAAATTTATGTTTAATTTCGAATTATGAATTATTTATTTATTTTCCAGTAGATCGGTTTATTTACCAACAAGTAAATTTTGGGGTCGGTCAAGTTTCCGCCTGTATTAAACAAATTTCAAAAATAAATACCTAAACCATAATAATTTTGCACACTATAACTAAAATATTGCACACAACACAACGAAAACTAGAGCAAATTTGACCGTTCCCCCTTGTTTGTCTAAAACTTGAAAAATTCCTATGCTACTTGGTTCACCTAAATTTGCACAATTTTGCATGCCTATTTTCAAATTTTGCACACTTTCTGGGGAAAGTTAAAGTATGTTTTTTTTAAAGATAATTCCCCAAGTCAAAAATTCAATAACTATGTTGGCAACACAAGCCTTTTCTACATAAAAAATTTGAAAGCATTGACAATTTTACATTGCATTGCCAACTTAATGTCATTTTGACTTTTATCTTTAAAAAAAAAAACTTTTTCTACAAACGTGTCAAAAATGCAATTTTTAACACCCCGCGTAGCATTAAAAATGTTACTTTATCGCACTAGTGCCATAAAGTCTTTATAGCACTAGTGTTAAAAATGAAACATCAAATTTTGAGAGCGAACGTCAAAAATGTTTGTATTTTTAGTTATTTACATTGATATTAATGGTAAAATTGGAACAACTGAGGTAGCCCGATTGGCCGCCTCATCTATATTTTTCAAGGGATCGATGCAATCTTCTCTTTCTTCTGTATTTTGTTGCATTTCTAGCAAAAATAATTACTGACCACGACATACTTTCAAGAAACTGACAAGACATTTCATTACCTGTAAAACAAGGTGCTGGTTGTTTGGATCTTTTGATAAATGTCAAATTCAATAATTTTATGTAGGAAAGATGCTTCCAATTTATTATTCATTGAAAAATTCAATTTGATGACGTCATAATTTAGAAATCTTAGATTTTACTATCACTTTTCCGCGATTCTAAATTCACTTTTCCGCGATTGTAAACCCACTTTTCCGCAAATATTACCTCATTTTTTCGCGATTCTTATCTCACTTTTTCACAAATTCACACTCACTTTTTTTGAAATTTTTGACTAATTTTTTTTTGTGATTTTTGACCCACTTTTTTGCAATTTTGTTTTCACTTTTTTGCGATTTTTGGCTCTCACTCCTCGGCGATTACAAACTTATTTTTCTGCTATTTCATCCTCATTTTTCCGCGATTCTTACCTCATTTTCCCGCGATTGTTCCCCTACTTTCCGCGATTTTATCTCCACTTTTCCGCTAATTTGACCTCACTTTTTTTGTGATTTTTGAAAAATATTTTTTTTTTTTATTTTTGACTCATTTTTTTGCAATTTTACCATCACTTACCGCAATTCTAAATCCACTTTTTCACGATTGTAAACCGACTTTTCTGTAAACATAATCTCATTTTTCAGCGATTCTTGTCTCACTTTTTTTTGCGATGTTATCCTCATTTTTCCGCGATTCATATTTCATTCTCCGCGATTTTATCCTTACTTTTCGTGACTTTATCCTCATTTTTCCGTGAGTCTCATCTTACTTTTCCGCGAGTTTAAATTCACTCTTTTTGAAATTTTTGACTCATATTTTTCTTGCGATTTTTGACTCTTTTTTTTGTGATTTTATCATCACTTTCCACGATTTATCCTCATTTTTCCTCATTTCAAAATTACGAAAATAACGATAATTTTTGAAAAGTTACGAAAAATTACGGGAATTACGCTAAAGTACGTAAAATATGAAAAATTAGAGAGAGTTGCAAACATTTACGAGAATTACGGAATATTACGAGAATCACGGAATAACAAAAAATTGCGGAAATTACAAAAATTATGGGAATTGCCAAATATTACGCAAAAGAATTACAAAGTCACTCCAAAATTACGTCAATTATTTAAATATTACTAATTTTTGAAAAGTTACGAAAACTAACAAGACAAATTACGGGAATTACGAAAAATAATGGGAATTTTAAAAATTTACGGAACCTAGTAAAATGACGGAAATGACGAAAATTTGCGGGAATTATGAGAAATTATGAAAATTACGGGAATTGAGAAAAATACAAAAAACTACGAAAATTACAAAAATTACGGGTATTACGAAATATTACGGAAAAAAATTACAAAGTCATTTCAAAATTACGTGAATTACGGTAATTCCCAAAATAACGGAAATCACAATTTTTTGAAATTACGAAAATTACAATAACTTAGGGAGAAT